GAGTACCGTACTTGGATAAGTTCGCTGTTTTGCGTAGAAGCCAAGGAGCAGGTGGCGTGGCGGACATCGTGTTCAACGCCATGGTTCGAGACTGCTTCCCCAACGGCGTGTGCTGGAGGAGTCGAAAGGACAATCCTGTCAACAAATGGTATTTTGAGCGATCAAGGGGATGCTTAAAGTTTAGCGATATGAACTGGACAATGTTCTGGACAACTCCGCGATTGGCGTTAGATGATCATAGATTCTTTGACTACGAGGCTGTGTGCCGAGGGATTGAACCATCTTGGGTCAGCAAAAAGCATATAGTCGATTAACAGAAATTTGAGTATAACGACGAAACACGCCGTCATTACACGCGTGTAGATTAGGCTTGTCCCATAACAAGGCAACGTGAATCTCCCCTGGGTGGGCTTCGGTTCTCAGTCTACACTAAAATATTACATACGGTACCCGGAAGATGAAGTCATCCGGATGAGCTCACTCATCTGTATAATGAATGACCTACGTAACGCCGGCAAAGGTTGCTCTCGTCTCCTGGGTGACTCTTGGCATGTGGTACGTATACGTAAGTTAAGTAGGTGGGGCAAGAGTGGGTTTCACTGAGGCAGTGGAAAATAACAGAAGAGGGGCGTAACAGTGCAAGTTTTTAGGCACACGAGCGAAGCGCTGTAGCAAAGCGGTTGAGTATCACCACGTAGATACTTAACATGTACAGTAAGGACGTAGATATTTCATACATGGTACCTACCCGGGCATGCTGGTAGGTAGGTACCTTCGTCCTTCTATCTCTTCCTTATAACACTACGTACGTTGACCCCACTATGAGGATAGAGATTGGCACATGTACGACTGATAAGGCTTCGATAACAGCTGGAGGCGGGGTGATAAGGGAGCGGTGGCATAGGTACGGATCCGTTAGGTACCTAATGTCCTGCTACCTATACGTACGGACGTACCTAGTGGACTGAATACCTAGGTATACCTACCTATAATATAGGTAAGGGCGTGTTCCTAGTCCGTCGTATTTCCTGGTCATTATTCAGCGATTTAATCAGACTACCTAGGTACCTGTATTTTCAAGTGCGAAAAGGGCGGTAGGAAAGAATGGACATGCTATAGCATGGTAACAAGACACATGATTTTTTTTTTCACAAATAAATTACCTAAGTTTTAATTAAAATATCTGTTGTTTTTTGTTGTCAGCTGTTGGCGTGACTAACTACTTACCTTAACTGGACCGCATGCGTCAACCCATGATTGAAATTTTTCTTCTTGGCCGTGAGTGCTTGAAGCTTCTAGAGGTTTCGTAGAGCGAAGCTGATCTATGGCACGCCCCACCCGGGGGTGCAACTAACGAGGGGTAACCCGGGTGAGGCTAGCCAAGTAGATAGACCAAAATTCGACTTGTCCCTCCTTCTTGACACTCTCTATCAACCTTCACCTACCACCACTTGCGCATTTGGGCAGCGTTTTATATCTTGTTGTTTTCCCCTTCGATTTGGTGAACTGTACCTTCTTCCTATCACTCTGTGTTAGGAGTCGCTAGACCATCGTACTTCCCGCCTTTCCTCACTGCTCCCGAGCGTTGTCTCTTTGACTTGCTCTGTTGATACCACCGTCGTTCGTCTTTAATAACTCGCCTACACAGTCTCAACCGATTTCTTTTCAACGATCAATCCGCACTTGTTAGATTCGCCCAGTCAACATGAGTGTCGTCGGTATGTGTCTTCGCGCCGGCGTTCTTGTGTGCTTGTTTTCTCTTATACTACCTTATATACTAATATCACTGTCTTCCTACTAGGTATTGATTTCGGAACGCTTAACACGGTCATTGCCGTAGCGAGAAATCGAGGTGTCGATGTGGTGCGTAACATACCCCTTTTCTTTTTGTTCTAAATCGGGTTGTGAGGCTGACAGTCGTTTTGGTTGAATAGATCACCAACGAAGTTTCCAACCGTGCGACGCCGTAAGTTTCATACCACTAGGCTGGCCCTATTTTATCTTTTGTTTCTTTACTAACGTCTTCGGCTTCCAGCTCTCTTGTTGGATTCGGTCCCAAGTCACGTTATCTCGGCGAGCCAGCCAAGACCCAGGAAATCTCCAACCTTAAGAACACCGTCGGCTCTCTAAAGCGCCTTGCCGGACGCGCTCTCAAGGAGCTTGACATTCAGGTCGAGCAGCAATATGTCTCAGCATCCCTCGTCGACTGCAATGGCCAGGTTGGCGCCGAGGTCTCATACCAGGGCAAGAAGGAGAAGTTCACTGCTACCCAGCTGGTTGCTATGTTCCTAAGCAAGATCAAACAAACTGCGGCTGCCGAGCTCAAGTTGCCAGTAGCGGATGTGGTCATGAGCGTGCCGCCATGGTTCACCGACATCCAGCGACGAAGCATCCTCGACGCTGCTGAAATTGCTGGCCTTAAGCCACTTCGGATCATGAATGACACCACTGCCGCAGCTTTGGGTTACGGTATCACGAAACTTGATCTTCCTTCTGAGGACCAGAAGCCCCGCCGTGTGTGCTTCATCGACCTCGGCCACAGCAACTACTCATGCTCCGTCGTTGAGTTCAAGAAGGGCGAGTTGGTAGTCAAGTCCACCACCTTTGACCGCCACTTCGGTGGTCGTGATTTTAACATGGCCTTGGTCAACCACTTCCAGAAGGAGTTCAAGGGCAAGTACCGCATCGATATCGCGACTAACCCCAAGGCCATGGCTCGTGTGGAAGCTGGTTCTGAGAAGCTCAAGAAGATTCTTTCAGCCAACCAGCAGGCTCCCCTGAACATTGAGTCCCTCATGAATGATATCGACGTCAACGCCATGGTCACCCGACCAGAATTTGAGGCCCTCGTTGAGCCTCTGTTAAATAAGGTTCTGCCGCCATTGGAGCAGGCGCTTGCCGAGGCCAACCTTACCAAGGACGATATTGATTATATTGAACTGGTTGGTGGTGGCACTCGTATGCCCTCTGTCAAGGAGAAGATCCAGGCTTTCTTCGGCAAGACTTTGTCGTTCACTCTCAACCAGGATGAGGCCATCGCTCGGGGTTGCGCCTTCGCCTGTGCTATCTTATCGCCTGTGTTCAAGGTCCGCGACTTTTCCGTAGCGGATATTGTTCACTACCCCATCGAATTTTCTTGGGAGAAAGATGTTGACATCCCCGATGAGGACACTAGCCTGACCGTCTTCAACAAGGGTAATGTGCTGCCTTCAACCAAGATCCTGACCTTCTATCGGAAACAACCCTTTGATCTAGAAGCGCGGTACTCCAGTCCCGATGATCTCCCAACCAAGGTGTCTCCCTTCATCGGCCGCTTCTCGGTTAAGGGTGTCAAGGCTGACCCGAAGACCGAATTCATGATCTGCAAGCTCAAGGCCAGGATTAACATACATGGTGTGTTGAATGTAGAAAGCGGCTATTACGTCGAGGACCAAGAAGTAGAGGAAGACGTCAAGGACGATAAGAAGGAAGATGGCGAGAAAAACGACCCTGATGTAAGTTCCATCTCTGACTGCTTTGCCGGACTGACAGGTTACTTTTCTTGGATTTTCGTCGTGGTTATATCGCTTCAACTAACCTATATCGTTTTCTGTCTTTAGGCGATGGACACCGATGAAAAGAAGGATGACGGCAAGCTCAAGACGCGAAAAGTGAAGAAGCAAGTTCGTAAAGGCGATTTGCCCATTGTCGCCGGGACCACATCCATCGATGCACACGCCAAGGACATCCTTATTGAGAAAGAGGCGGCCATGCTCATGGAGGATAAACTGGTGGCCGACACAGAGGAGAAGAAAAACGAACTAGAGACGTATATTTATGACATGCGGAACAAAGTAGACGACCAATTTGCCGACTTCGCCAGCGAAGATGAGAAGGACAAGATCAGGTCGAAGCTCACCGCAACCGAAGTAAGTTCTCGTGATGAAATCGATTTTTAATGCAGAATCGCTGACTGTAATTAAGGACTGGTTGTATGAGGAGGGCGAAGACAGCACCAAGGCTATTTACATCTCCAAGATCGACGAGATTCGTTCCCTGGTGGGCCCTATTAGCCAGAGATACTTTGACAAGGTGGAGGCCGACCGTCAGGTATTGCAAGCCAGGCTCGACGCCGAAGCGGCCGCAAAGAAGGCGACTGACGAGGAAGCCCGCAAAGGAACTGAGGGAGAGAAGGGCGAAGGTAACAAGGACGAGGATATGACAGATGCTGAGCCCTCAAAGTCCGAGGCGGATGAACATACGTCTTAGAAATATCCGTCCAATAAACAGATTAGGCGGCTAAATATTCGACGAAGGAATGTTTTAAAGTAATGTTGCAATGGAGATGGCCGGGACTGGATGGTTCAACGTCGGTTTGGTAAGATTTCTCCAATCCTGACCGGATATGGCGGTATTAGAGTTAGACTATGGCCAATCAAATAGTATACACACACACAAAAGGCAGGCTGTATTGAGATAGACGTATCCGAAAACTGGTATGTTCATGACTGTAAATCAAAATTTCTGTCTCTTGGTTCCAATGTCATGATGGCGCGCAAATGTAAGCGTCGCGCCATGTCGTGGTACTCTGTATCATCCGATCACGATTGTAGTGGGCAAATGATTGTATAAGGGATATATAATTGAGTCTGTAAAAACAGAGACGGCGATATGTGAGCAACCTCACAAGACGACTTGACAGATGATTTCTAAAGAGTCGTTTCAGAGCTGTTTTTCTTTTTCTTTTTCTTTTTCTTTTATTCACTCTTTCACAGCCTCATTTGCTATATATATATTACGCTACAGCCCATACATTACGAATGTTCCTTCGGTCCGGGCGGTTCCAGCAAGACATTGAGAGCGCTCGAAATAAGAAGCCCTTCATAGAAGAAGAAAAAAATATTGTCGTGCTGAGAAAATTTTCAATTAATCCCACACAAATGGGACCTAGTGTGGAAATTCCCCATCTTTCCTCAATTGATAGTCCCCACGAAGGAGACGGAACTCCATCATCAAGCGACGGCCTCGTGGCCTAATGGCATGGCGTTAGATTTCGGTCATCATACAAAACATGACTTGCTCTCTAAAGATTGTCGGTTCGAATCCGGCCGAGGTCGACATTGATAACTTATATCCAAATTCCGAATTGGTGTAGTGGCTAACATTTGACGCTCTCATCTTTCCGTGGAAACACGGATTGGCGGCGCCGTCAAGCCCGGGGTTCGATTCCCCGATTCGGAGTACTCATGATTGGTTATTTTTTTTGCCTGATATCTACTGTGGACACTACTTCTGTTTCATGGGTGGAATAGGTAATCCAGGCGGCCATCACTGGTGTTTGACTTTTTGTTTATTTTCTTACACTTTGTTTACAAAAGATACCCAGTTACTAGGTAGGTAATCTGATTAGGTGTCAGGTACGGATCCGTAGAAAACTTGATGTGATGCCTGATTGCTTATCGTATCGCTAATGGTGGGAGAAGGATAGAGGAGGGGCTTCACTCGCTTAAGTCCTTATCCGCTGCTAAGGTGGAGTACACTAGACTACTTAAGTACCTATCAAAGTCGAGGCTCAATCACGCAGCACCAACACTTGAACAAATTCATAATTTATTTCATCCACTTGAAGCCGTGCAACTTTCGCCGATCATCTTGGTTGGCCGCCTCAACATTCCCACGTCGACTCCACTATACCAAGACTTTGACCCTGCTTAGGTGGCCCTTCCTAGTATCCAGTAAGACTGGAGACTGATCTTTTTAAATCCGCATCGCATTTTTTGTCTTCCGATTACGTTTGAGACAGCAGGCAATGTTTGGACTGTCCGGAGTGTCCAGCCCTACTCTTACCTGTTCTTATCATTACGCTATCTCTCTCCTTCGTTGTCTAACATAACGAATTATTGCCCCGCCTCGTCTCTTCTGCCAGGGGAACCTGCACATTCCGCAACCGATCTTCACCGATCACTGCATTTCTCATTCACTTCGCCTCATTATACCCTCTCGCGACAAGAGTCATCCAAAGGTCTTTGACAGAATCTTCCTACAAAAAACTCGGGATCACCATGGCGCCGAAAAAGAAGGGAGGAAAGAAGGCGGCAGATGACTGGGAGGCTGACCTTGGCGAGTCTATTGCACCAGTTAATGGCGATGCTGTCGTCGCTGCTGCCCCCGAGGAAAATGAAGAGGAGGGTGATGCTCCTGTCGGTGGCCTCATGGCCATGATGAAGAAGAACCGAGAAAAGCGCAAGAAGAAGGGCTTATCCGAAGATTTCGTCGATGGGGAATCAGCGCAACCCGCTGCCCCAGAGCCCACCAACTTTCAAGCGCCCGAGGAAGCGACTATAGATGATGAGTTTGCCCTACCAGAGAAGAAAGGAAAAGGAGCGAAGCAAAATAAGAAAGAGCCTGCTGCCAAAGCTCCTGCTGCTGATGCCGACAATGACGATGTCGCTGACTCCGGTAGAGTGCTCACCAAGGCCGAGAAGGAGAAGTTGAAAAAAGAGAGGGAGAAGCAAAGGAAAAAGGAGCAGGTTAGTACTGTCATGCATATATCATGAAGAGCCTTGAGCGCTAACCCCACTACCTCATCTAGGCTGCGAAGAAAAAGACCACCGCCCCCCCGCCCGCTGCAAAGCCTGCAGAGCCTGCCAAAGCCGTTGTCGAAGAGAAGAAAGAGGCACCCGCGGCTACAACAGACGCAGCAGGAAAGAAAGGTAAAAAGTTGCCACCGCATCTGGCTGCCATTCAAAAACAACAAGAGGAATTACGGCGGCAGCGAGAAGAGGCTGAACGGCTTGCCCAACTTGAGAAGGCCCGCGTTGAAGAATTAGAGAGACAAGATGCTGAAGAGGCTAAGCGAAAGGAAGAGGAAAGGGCCCGTAAGAAGCAGAAGGAAAAGGAGAGGATCGAGCAGCTCAAAAAAGAAGGAAAATATCTTACCAAGGCTCAAAAGGAAGAGAAGGCCCGCAATGAGAGGAAGCTTCAGCAAATGATCGCCGCCGGCCTCCAGGTTGGGCCCTCAGAAGATGGGGAGGATAAGAAGAAGAAGGCCGTCTACGATAAGAGAAGGGCCAAGAAGAACGACCAAAAGGTTAGTTTACATTTTAGGTCACCGGCTACAGTGTTGTCGTTATTAATTCTTTGTAGGTGGACGAAGAAAAGGTCCTGGCTGAAGCTGCTGAGCGGGCGAGAATACAAGCGGAGGCTGCCGCAAAAGAAGCCGAAGCCAAGGCTGCCCAAGAAGCCGCTGCCCGGGCAGCTGCCGATGCAGCTGCGAAGAAAGCTCAAGCAGAGGAAGACGTCGATGACGACTGGGAGGCTGCCGCAGCTTCTGATGAGGATGTTAAAGACAGCCAGGATGCCGATTCAGATGAAGTGGCCGAAAAGCCAGCCGCCGCTAAAGAGCCCGCGAAGGCGTTACCATCACGACCTAAGTCTGGAGAATCCGAGTCCGAATCGGAAGATGAATCTTCTGAAGATGAAGAGCGAGCCGCTGCCCGGGACGCTGCAGCCCGACGCAAGAAAGAGGCTGCCGAGCGAAGAGAAAAAGCACACGAGGCTGCACTGGCTGCGAGATCTAAAGAAAATCTTCGTAGTCCTATCTGCTGTATCTTGGGCCACGTCGATACAGGAAAAACAAAGCTACTTGACAAAATCCGGCAAACCAATGTCCAAGAAGGAGAAGCGGGTGGTATCACACAGCAGATTGGTGCCACATATTTCCCAGGTTTGTCGCGACGCATCATTTGTACTGTTAGGCATCAGCAACTAATATTCTGCTAGGCGACGCTATCAAACAAAAGACTGCTGTGGTCAACCAGGATGGAAAGTTCGAACTGAAGGTTCCGGGTCTTCTGATCATCGATACACCTGGTCACGAATCCTTCTCTAACTTGCGTTCCCGAGGTTCTTCGTTATGTAACATTGCTATCCTAGTTGTCGATATCATGCATGGTCTTGAGCCTCAGACCCTTGAATCGATGAAGCTTCTTCGTGACCGGAAGACACCATTTATTGTTGCACTCAACAAAATTGATCGTCTGTACGGATGGAAGAAGGTTGACAACAACGGTTTCCAACAAAGTTTGGCTCTCCAAAATCGAGGTGTGCAGAACGAGTTCAAGAACCGACTGGAACAGACCAAACTCGCTTTCTCTGAACAAGGTTTCAATGCGGAGCTTTTCTATGAAAACAAATCTATGGCCCGTAACGTTTCATTGATACCAACCTCGGCGCACACGGGAGAAGGTATCCCGGACATGTTGAAACTCATTGTGCAGTTGACTCAGGAAAGGATGGTCGGCTCGCTCATGTATCTCTCGGAAGTGCAGGCCACTGTGCTAGAAGTCAAGGCAATCGAGGGCTTTGGTATGACTATCGATGTTATCCTGTCGAACGGTATCCTCCGAGAGGGTGATCGGATAGTTGTGTGTGGTGTCGAAGGAGCGATCATTACAAACATTCGAGCGCTGCTCACTCCAGCAATAATGAAGGAATTGCGAGTCAAGTCGCAATACGTACACAACAAGGAAGTGAAGGCAGCGATGGGTGTCAAGATCAGTGCGCCAGGTCTTGAAGGCGCAATCGCTGGCTCTCGATTACTCGTGGTCGGCCCAGATGACGACGAGGAAGACTTGGCTGAAGAGGTTGAGGCAGATCTGAACAAACTGTTCAGCCGTGTATCCACTTCCGGACGAGGTGTCAGTGTGCAGGCGTCCACCCTGGGCTCACTCGAAGCTCTTCTCGATTTCTTGAAGGATTGCAAAATTCCCGTTGCCAACGTTGGTATAGGTCCGGTGTTCAAGCGCGACATCATGCAATGCGGCACGATGCTGGAAAAGAGTCCCGACTACGCTGTCATGCTTTGTTTCGACGTCAAGGTGGACAAGGAAGCTCAGTCCTATGCCGACGAGAACGGCATTAAGATTTTCACTGCCGATATTATTTACCATTTGTTTGATGCATTTACGAAGCATATGGAGGATCAGCTTGAGAAGAAAAAAGAAGAGTCCAAGTTACTTGCGGTCTTTCCCTGCGTACTCAATACTGTGGCGGTTTTCAACAAGACGAACCCTATCGTTGTGGGTGTCGATGTATTAGACGGTAGCCTTCGAGTTGGCACGCCAATAGCAGCGGTTAGAACAAATTCAACTACGGGCGCCAAGGAAATTATCAGCATGGGTAGAGTGTAAGTTGGATCAATCTTACGACACAAGGCCAATGCATTTACTAACCGATCACAGGTCGTCGATCGAAAGAGATCACAAACAGATCCCGGTCTGTAAAAAGGGACAGCCCTCCGTGGCGGTAAAGATTGAGATGGGTGGTCACCAGCCAACGTATGGCCGTCACCTCGAGGAGAGTGATACATTATACAGCTTGATCTCGCGTGCTAGTATTGACTGCTTGAAGGAATTCTACAGGAAAGAGGTATCGAACGATGAGTGGGCACTGATCATCAAACTTAAGCCCTTGTTTGATATCAACTGAGAGGTAGCGACGATAGAAGTCAACTTTTTATTGAGCGACAGACATAGGCCAGCTATGATATTGCTACTCTCTCATTATCATGTAATTATTAGCGATCGTTATGGAAAATGAGGCGGGGAGGCATCACAATTAGGTTAATTGATTTACATTATACACACTGTTCATTCATTATCTATCTGGTTATGTGCTGACTTCCGTGTTTCTCTGTCTCGACAACTATGATCACGGCTGGCTCGTTACTTCACAGCATTGCGGCACACAGTCAGTCATTTATCGACATCAATGAGCTATGTAGGTAAGGGGTAATGAATAGTAATGATACTCATCCCTTCGTTCATCTAATCTCATAGTATGTATTCAGTATATCGATCGATGTACGGATCCGTATACATATATATATATATATATATTTATGTATCGTGATGAAGAACCTAATTTGACATACTTTACTGTACGATGGATGGTCTTGGTTTTTTTTGGACACCCCACAGAAAGCTGCATTCTGTTGAAGTACCTATCTGTTGTATTTGCATCTAAGACTGAGGGAGGGAGGGAATAGGTACCATCATCCGTCCCATCACCGTGGCAACGTAGCGCCAGGCATGCATGTGCTGTCGCCCATGATTACCTAGCTGCAGGACACAGCCTAGAGTCTGGCCACGCTAGGTAAGTACACCACACAGGGCATCATCATCGTCAGCATCGGGACCTTTGATAGGTAGAAAGCTTTGATTCGTCCTACGTCCATCCCT